GGACCATATCAAAAGAAGTGTTTTGATTGTTTAGAAGTAGGCTGAAAACAGTTGAGAAGTAAAATGTTGGCTTTGCAACAGCAGCATTAGTTAAAACACGATATAAGCATCAATACTTTTGACTTGAGATTGTAACCATGTTCAATGGCAGTTGAAGTTGATGTAATTTACAAGGCGGCTAGCATATTCAATAGTGTGGTGAGAAGATTGGCAAAAAAAGTCAATATTTTGTGAAATTACATCAATTCTTAAAGATATGCACATTATTGATCTACGCCAACAAATTGAACAAATAAAATTTTAGCAAATTTTCTATCAGAAAAGAAGCAAAAAAAAAATTTTTTTTCTTTAATAAACACAAAATTTCTCATCAGATATTAGCAGCAATAAAACTATGCATTTAAACTAATAATTTCTTCAAAGAAAAAAAAAAATTTTTTTTTGAAGTACCGCATATATTTTTCAGAACAACTGCCAAATTATTGAATTGATAATTTTTCTAAAATTTCTGTTTAGCACCTTTTAAATAAAACAAATTCAATCATTTTTAATTTGCAGACATTCCAAAGAGGTTAAAAAAAAGAAAAATAATGTCAATGCATCAGCAGTTTTAATTAAATAAAATTGATTGTAATTGTTGAAAAGAGCTTACAATATCCTATAAAATTGATTGTTTAGAAAAAAAAAGATTTACTTCAATATTTCTGTTTCTTATTTTTATTATTATTATTATTTTGTATAATAACTGTTAACAGTTACTTTTTCAAATTTATATATAACATTTCTTACTTCTTCTCTCTCACTTTTTTTTTCTTTTTCATTTATCAGTGGCAATAAAATTATTAAACCCCGAAATAGTTTTGTTGTCTGCTTTCTGTTTCCGTTTAATTTTAGTGCCACAACGGGAAAGCCAAAACTGATGCTGTTTTGCGGTTGTCGTTGAAAGGTTTTGCTTTTAAGTGGCAACATATGCAACAACTATCGGTCAAACAGCTGATGTTTCAATCGTAAAAATCTCTTATTTCTGCACAATTCTTCTCTTTCTTTTTTCTCAAAGGAAAATTATTGACAGAAATATGGAAGAAAGAAAAAAGAAGTTGGTCGTCTTTGTACCGTCTGTCTAACTGCTTGGTTTGCTAGCAAACTAAACTGTTAATCATCAAAACTTTTCTTGCTCTTTTCTAATAATTTTTTTTTCTGTTGTCAATTTTTTTTAACAGTGCACATTTACTGTTTATTACATTTTATATACTTTGCGGCTGTAGTGATAGTTTTTAGTATTTTAGTGTTTTTTTTTTTTATACTGCTTTTTCTTCTTTTCCCTTTTCTTCTTCATCTTCTCCATCTTCTATTACAGTTCATTTATCCTATTTATGTTTTTTTTTTCACTGTTGCTTTTCTGTTATTCCAAATCTTTGTTGGTGTTTTAAACTGTTGTTCTAATAGTCATTCAAAGAAGCAGCAATAATGCAGCAAAAGATACTTTAACGTTTACAACAGCTTATCATCTGCAAAACATCAATAAAGATTTAATTTTGCATTTTTTTTTTTTTTTTTTTTTTTT